GGCATTTATTACTTAACAGGATTTCAAGTATTATACTTAAATACCTTCTTCAAATTAAAATATTAGCCAAAGTATGCCCGGCCGCTGTGGCTCAGTGGTTGAGCATTGACCCATGCACCAAGAGGTCACTGGTTCGATTCCTGGTCAGGACACATGCCCAGGTTGTGGGCCAGATCCCCAGTGGGGGGCATGTAGGAGGCGGCCAATTGATGTTCTCTCTCATCAATGTTTCTATCTCTCTAAAATTCAATAAAAAAAATTAGTCAAGGTACAACAAAACCAAAGTTTTCTCCTTGTCTCAAATGAAATATAAAACAAGTCAAGCCCTGGCTGTTTGGCCCAGCAGTTAGAGCATTGGCCTGAGGACCAGAGAGTCCCAGGTTCAGTTCCCGCTAAGGGCACGAATCTTGGTTGCATTTCGTCCCCTGCCCAGGTTGGGGTCATGTGGGTGGCATTTACTTGATGTGTCTCTCTCACATTGATGTTTCTCTCTCTCTTTTCCTCCCTCTCTCCTCCTGCTCTATCCTTGGGTGAAGATAAAAAATAATAATAATAAAATAAATTAAGTCAAAAGTAGAGCTTATTTTGCCCTGACCAGTGTGGCTTAGTGGTTAGTGTCGACCCACACAACAACCTGTTGTGGGTTCAATTCCTGGTCAATACCTGGGTTGTAGGTTTGATCCCTAGCCCTGGCCAGGGTGCATGTGGGAGGCAACCAATAGGTGTGTGTGTGTCTCTCCCCCTCCCTCCCTTCCACTCTCTCTAAAAATCAGTGGAAAAAATATCCTTGAGTATTTTTTTAAAAAGTAGAGCCTACTTATCAAGTGAAAGTTATAACAAAAGAATTGTTGGAATAAAGAAAGCGGTCTTTACTATCTCCAATTATTACAGTAAATATTTTGTCTTTATAATAGGGGTAGCCCCATCCACATATTATGGACAGTTTTCCAAATAGTGACTGCAAAATGAGCACGCTAAGTTTGTTGGTGCTTTTGTGCCACAGAATTGCCAAGGGAGGGATGGAGATAGCCAGCGTCTTAGGTAATTCTGAGGTGGTCTCAGCTCCTTAAATTTATCAGAAGCAAAAGTTATGAAAGAGTGTTTCCTGCCATTGCCTCAAGGAGCTTCCCTATTTCAGTATTTACGCTAAACCAAGTATCTTTCTCAAGACTTTCCTCATTGCCACATTCAAATGAATAAAGAGGGTAGCAGGTTTGCCCCTCTATTGCTAAGCAGGCAGGGGGAGCTTGGAGAGCTAATGTGAAGCCACAATGTGTCATTAGCCTGCCTTTTCTACGCAGAGGTCCCTTCCAGGTCTTCACAGATGGACACTGGCTTCCAAGCTGGCAATGTTTGTTCCTTTTTTAAAAATTTTTTTTATCCTCACCTGACGACATTTTTCCACATTTTGTGCAGATAGAGTGGGAGGGAGAGAGAGGAAGAGAGAGAGAGAGAGAAACATCGACGTGAAAGGGACACATCGAGTGGCTGCCACCCGCACGACCAACCAGGGCCGGGGACAAACTGCAACTGAGGTACATGCCCTTAGTGGGAACTGAACCCGGGTCTCTCTGGTCCACAGGCCGATGCTCTAACCGCTGAGCCAAACCGGCCAGGGTTCTTCCTTTTTTGTCTTTAATTTAGAGGGACATCCATAGGGAGAAGATCTTTAACTTGACCCAGTGCGTCTTTTCATTAGGTCACTTCTACCAAGGGATTCTGTTCATTTAATAAAACACTGAATGAAGCACAAGGGTCTTCTTTTTGCAGTGGGAGGAACCAAGGCACCTGGATCAAGTCACCAGGATCTAATTCAACCAGAACCTTGAGCAAGAGTACCCAGGAGAGAAGATGCTCTCATGCATAATTCTGAGGATCCTCAACACAGCAGTTGACCTCTCTGAGGGGTGGGAGTGTGGGTGCCTGGCCCTCACTGCTCCCAGGGCTAGTGCTGCCATGGTGGGAAATGTGCCACCTGTCCAGTGGATCATATCTGAGCAGAGGGTTGTGATTAAAATACAGCCTGGAAGCGCTCACAGTCGACCCATTGTAATTCCTCCCCAACCATCTTGATTCTACAGGGCTCCCTACCTGGACCCCGGTGCCAGGGGAAGCTGTTCACTCTGAAATGGGGGTCGGGAGAGCACCTGGCACCTACCTACTGGTTAGTAGGTTCCTTATAAATTCCAGTCGGCCTTCCTTTTCCTTCTTTCTTCCTCTCAGCATGATGTGGTGGTAAAACTCAAGGGGTAGAGAGTCAGAGCTGAGTGTGAATGCTGCATGAGTTACTTAGCTTTTCTGAGCCTCAGTTTCCTCAGTGGTGATGGTATTTCCCACTTTAAAGGATGGAGGCAAAGACTGCATGAGGTAAAATATGAGCCCTTGGCTCATTGTAGATGCCCAGTGGGTGATGGTGCCCCCCTGCCCTTCCTTGCCTTAAAAACCTCATGTATATCTGTAGCTGAACTAGTCTCAGAGGGGCTGTTATCTGGTTTAAATGATAAATGGCGGGCCGGTTTGGCTCAGCGGTTAGAACATTAGCCTGCGGTCTGGAGAGACCCGGGTTCGGTTCCGACTAAGGGCACGTACCTCGGTTGCAGTTTGTCCCCGTCCCTGATTGGGTCGTGTGGGTGGCGACCACTCGATGTGTCCCTTTCACATCGATGTTTCTCTCTCTCTCTCTCTCTCTCTCTCCCTCCCTCCCACTCTATCTGAACAAAATATCGAAAAATGTCCTCGGGTGAGGATAAAAAAAAAAAAAAAAAAAAAGATAAATGATATTGAGTAAAGCTAACATCTACCAGAGTATACACCAGGCTTCATAATAGAAGTCAGGACACTTATTTCAGTGTACAGTCAGTTCTGCGGTAAAGTAAGTTTCTAAAAAATACCATGCCAGGTAAAATCTCACAAAAACCACAGGGCTTATGGGAAAAACAGGTTAGGGGCATAACACTCAAAATTTTGTCAGTGACACACACAAAAAATAGGAACCTAATGATGGCAGCACAGTTTTACATGTTAAATTATTGAGATAAATAACACTACAGTAAACAGGGCACAGTTCATGGGAAGACCTGAAGTTTTCTTGTGGAAGCGGGTGTCAGAAGGGTTGGGGTTTGTGAGTGTTGTCCTGAAGTTGTGCAAGGAGCGTTATCTGAAATCAGGTGGGAGTTGTAACGACAGATGGGTGTGGTGTATAAGGTGGTAAACTGAGGTAACTGGTAGCTGTGTGGGTTTTGTATTCCCATGTGACTGGGTTCAGCTGGGGGAAGTCTTCTGTGTTCATCTAGTGTTTCTCTAAGGCAAAATCATATGTAAACAAACAGAATTTGCATCATGCTCAAATTGTTCCATCAAATAGCAATCACATTGGAATGGATCTGCATTTTTAAAACTAGTGTTTCAGCAGAACTGACTCTACCAGCTTTCTGAAAAAGGTCACCTTCCCCCAGGCAGTACCCTAAAGAGAAATGAGTAAAATCAGTGTAAAACATAAAAACTAACAGGACCAGCTCTGCCAGTTTGGCTTAGTGGCTGAAGCGTGGGCCTGCGGTCCAGAGAGACCTAGGTTCGGTTCCCGCTAAGGGTACGTGCCTCGGTTGCAGTTTGTCCCTGGCCCTGGTTGGGTCCTGCGGGAGGCAACCACATGATGTGACCCTTTCATGTCGATGTTTTTCTCTCTCTCCCTCCCACTCTATCTAAACAAAAAATGAAAGAATGTCCTTGGGTGAGAATAATAAAAAATAAAAAAAACTAATGGGACTGTTCAATCTTTTATCAAGTGGCAGTCAGCCCTAGCCAGGTAGTTCGGTTGGTTGAAGCATTGTCCTGATAGGTCAGGGTTGTCGGTTTGATCCCTGGTCAGGGCACATGCAGCTAATGAATGCCTTTCCTCTATCACTCTAAAAAAAATGTGGTAATCATTTTATAAACATATATTTTTACATATATCAGTTACTGTATTCTGAGTAAGTAGAATTACCATCAGACTGTTGAGTGTGGGAATAATTGGGAGTGTGGGGATGGGTGGTCTTTGGCTGTATTTTGTAGTGATTTTGCTTGTGGATAATCTCTTTAGATCATCTGCTACCTGTTGTTCCTCTATCATCACAGAGCAGCCACCCCCCAGTACCCATATCTCATGTTAACTATACACAGACTTATGGGTAGAACAGTACATAACAGTATGCTGTGTTCCTCTGCGTCACTCAGATCTCTTTTAAAAATCATCTGTAAATGAATCTCATATTCTAAAAAGAAATGTGATTGTGAATATATATGATGCTAGGAGAATAGTGGTAATTATATAAATTGTGACTTTAAGAGGTAATGTGGGCCAAGCAATGCCTGGCCAGTGTGGCTCAGTGGTTGAGCATTGGCCCATGGACCAGGAAGTCGCTGGTTTGATTCCCGGTCAGGGCACATGCCTGAGTTGTGGGCCAAATCCCCAGTGGGGGGCATGCAGGAGGCAGCCAGTCGATGTTCTCTCTCATTGATATTTCTGTCTCTCTCTCCCTCTCCCTTCCTCTCTCTAAAATCAATAAAGAAAAATAGATATAAAAAAGTAGTGTGGGCTAAAAGGGCTATGGATTTATCCATAGATAGACTTTAGGAGAGGTCTGTGAATCCCAGAAATTGTATACAGATATTTGTTGGTGAGTGCATTTTGGAAGGAAAGAGTCCTCAACTTTCATCATGTTCCTATATGGATCTTTGATCTCAAAATGGACAAGAAATACTGATTTAGAAAAATCCATGGGATGTAGATTCATGTGGGTCCATAAAGGGGAGCTGTTACAGTTTTCTCAGAAAGCACTCCAGGGGTTCACTGTCAGTGACAGCAGGGAGCTGATTTGACCACTGGGTCAATCTTGCCTGTCATTCTTGACGTTTCCTCTCAAATTAGACACATCAGTTGTGAAGGATGCCCTTTCATACAAGGGCATATGCCTTTCAGCTGTTGTGTATCTCATGCTTCCCTTGACTTTATTTTTCAGATGGGAACAGCGAGAGTTGCCCAACGGCCGTGTCTATTATGTTGACCACAATACCAAGACCACCACCTGGGAACGGCCTCTTCCTCCAGGGTAAGGCATGGACCGACAAGCTCCGAGACTCCAGATCTGGCTCCGAGAGCCACCCAGAGTCTTCTCCACCACCAGTTGCTATAGCCCTCTTCATTTGCCCACTCTCTTCTCCTTTCTCTCTCTTTTCCCTCCTCCCACAGTCTTCCCCTTCTATATTCTTTCCCTCTCCTATTTTTTCTCTATTCATGCATTGTATTGGCCATGACTGATGGCCCTGGGCTTTAATAAGTGGTATTCAGAGCTACTGTGGCTGTTGGATCCTGGAGGGAGGAGGGCTGAGGAGGCCTCCTGGGCCATTGCTGTTGCCATGCTCTCTGTCATTTCACCTGCAGAGATATCCTGTTGGACCAGGATTTTCGTCTCTCTTTCAGGGACAATTTATCCTGGTCCATTGATTACTTTTCCTATTTGTTGACCTTAATTCTGATCTTATTCCTTAAGACATACTAAGATTTTTGGAACATCTCTGCAAGAAAATTGGGCATGGGGGGGCCAAGCTAGAATGAACGGTGGTTCGTTTCACAGCACCCTGTGCCCAGCCAGCACTGAAGGCAGTGTGCTAACTGTTCAGCTGGGCTTTGCGAGAACGCAGCTTAGGTTCTCCAAAACCAGAGGACGAGTGAGGCTTCCAAGTGAGAGAAGACTATCCAAGTTCAAGGAAAAGAGGTTTGGTTTCCTCTCTGCCAGGGACAGAAAGTTCTTTCCACGTGTCTCCCGGTCCTGAGAGCTTTCAAAAGGGAACGTATTCTGCTCTCAGGAAAGAATAGCCTCCCAGTAAAGCAGCCGCAAAGGGCTCCCGCATCAAACATGAGCACTTCTCCCCCTCAGCTCGCAGAGGGAGAGGATGTTGGGGGAGGCCCTGTGCTTTGTTTGGTTCAGCTGTCAGGCATGTGCCAGGTAAATGCCACCTCTCCTTCTGGTCCACCAAGTTTCCATGGACGGGCTGCTCTCAGTGTGTTTCCAGTAGGGTGCTTATGTTTTCCTTTTTTCCCTGACCCTTCTGGAAATGAAATTCATAATCTGTCATCCTTAGTCTTCACTCTGTTTTCTACTTTGATTTTAAATCCAGTTAAGTTACCGAAGTTAAACATTGACTTCTTAGGGAAAAAAATTCAACATTTTATTATGGAAATTATCATATCATTATGGAAAATTTCAAATATGCACAAAGCTGCCCTGGCCCGTTGGGCTCAGCGGTTAGAGCATCGACCTGCGGTCCTGAGAGACCCGGGTTTGGTTCCCGCTAAGGGCGTGTACCTCGGTTGCAGTTTGTCCCCGGCCCTGGTCAGTCATGCGGGTGGCAGCCACTCGATGTGTTCCTTTCACATCGATGTTTCTCTCTCTCTCTCTGTTCCTCTCTCTCCCTCCCACTCTACCTGAACAAAAAAATGGGAAAATGTCCTTGGGTGAGGATTAAAAAAAACACAAAAAAGTCAAAATAAAACAAAAAAATATGCACAAAGCAGAGAGAACACCTACATATTCAGTGCTTAGCTTCAATAATTGTCAACTCATAGCCAATCTTGCTTCATCTATACCAGGGGTTGGCAAGCCATGGGCCTATGGACAAAACCCAGCCCTCCACTTGTTTTTGCAAATAAAGTTTTATTGGATCACAGCCACAGTCATTTGTTTTCTTATTGCCTATGGCTGCTTTGGTGCTCAATGGCAGAACTGAGTAATTGTGACAGATACTGTATGGCTCACAAAGCCTAAAATACAGGGGTGGGCAAAAGTAGCTTTACAGTTTTAATACAAATAAATTATACAATAACTAATAAATAATAATACAAGAATAAACTCTGTGTTTTGCATACTCACAACCATAAACCTACTTTTGCTTACCCCTGTATTCACTTTGTGGCCCTTTATAGAAAATAGTTGCCTCTCCTGAGCTGTACTCCTTACCTACCCTTCCCCCACTCTGTCCGGGATTATTTTGAAGCAAATCCCAGACAACATATCATTTTTTTTTTTTTTTACATTTTTTTTTTAATCCTCACCTGAGGACATTTTTTGATAATTTGTTCAGATAGAGTGGGAGGGAGAGAGAGAGAGAAACATCGATGTGAAAGGGACACATCGAGTGGTTGCTACCCACATGACCCAACCAGGGCCGGGGACAAACTGCAACCAAGGTACGTGCCCTTAGCAGGAACCGAACCCGGGTCTCTCCAGACCACAGGTCAATGCTCTAACCACTGAGTCAAACTGGCCAGGGCAACATATCATTTTATCCATATTTTGTATGTATTTCTAAAAAAATAAGTTACCTCCTTTAAAATAAACCACTATATTATAAACAGTATTTCCTTGCTGTTACCAGATACCCAGTCATTAGTCAAATTTCTCCAATTATGTTGCAAATTAATCATTGACTTTAACAGGATGCATTGCACACTTGAATTCTGTGTATGTATGTATGTATTTATTTATTTATTTAATCCTCACCCGAGGATATTTTTCCATTTTTTGTACAGATAGAGTGGGAGGGAGAGAGAGGAAGGGAGAGAGAGAGAGAAACATCAACGTGAAAGGGACACATCGAGTGGCTGCCACCCGCACAACCAACCAGGGCCGGGGACAAACTGCAACCAAAGTACGTGCCCTTAGCGGGAACCGAACCCGGGTCTCTCTGGACCGCAGGCCGATGCTCTAACCGTTGAGCCATACTGGCCAGGGCGAATTCTGTGTATTTAAAAGCACATCTGTTTAAAAGCAGCGATAATTCTGGAAGTGTGCTGGTTGCTGCTCTTAACCTCTCTGGTCTGTAAGTTTATAGGCTTTCACCTAGTGAACTTTCGTGTGGAATCTGAATGAAGATAAATAATGGTATCTCTTAAGGATGGCTGAGGTTTTACTCTTCTTTAAGAACTGAGGTGTGATGCTAGACCCAGCTTTCTTATTTTCAGGATAGTTTTCATGTTTTATTGGGAGATGGCTCAGCTCTACACCCCGCACAGCCTATTAGTTCTTCCTGAGTTTTAGGCCCAGACTTTTGAGTCCTTGGTACTTACTTCCGCTATGTAACAGGAAACCCAGAGAGAACAGAATGCTTAAGCTTTCATTGCTAGTTCGTGGGAGAAGTTCCACCCCAGGGAAGTATTACTGTGGTGAGAGCAAACTCAAAATTACAGATGATCTCAGCAGACCTGGTCACCAAGGAACGAGATTGACCCAAAGGATTCACTTTATCACGGTCATCCCATTCTCTTAGACCCATGGGACACTTGTGTGATGACAAGTTATTCTATCCAGGACCTGGTAACTTAAGGATGAATGTGATCATTTCATTTTAGGCAGTGCTCAGACCAGAGGTGAGAAGGGAGAGTGATTGGTCATCACAGGGCATGGGGTTGGGATGCCTTAAAGTAGGAGGTGGATCAAACTAGTCTTGCAGGAAAGGCTGGAGGACTTAAATAAGAAGAGGAAGGTGATCCAGATTGGGGGAACAGTGTGAATGTAAAAGGTGTGGTTAAGGAATGGTGTGGAACAGTTTTGCTGAGTGGAAGGTTTATGTAAAACAAAGATGCTCAAAGTGTGTGGGTTTGGTGGAGATGCCCCCTGGAACCAAAGAGTGTGAAAGAGATTCCTGGGCCTCTTGCCACTGCTCTGTGATAATGATTCTGCATAAGGTTTCATTGGAAATCAAGGGCGAGATTATGCTGCTTAGGAGTTTAAAATTCACCAGTGCAGGGGACTTCTACTTAAACATGGGGATTGAACATGTGTTTATTTCTATTCCTTCCTGAAAACTCACTAAAATGGCAATAAAGGTATAAAAACGGTATAAACCATACGATAAAGGAATGGAAGAGGAGAAACAGCATATGGAAGATGTTAACCAAAGTTTAGTTGCTGATTGATAAATGGCAGAGCTGAGAAAGCTGAAACCCATGCCTATGGTGTGGGGTGTCCACCAGGAAGCCAGCTGATTTGCACCATAGAGCCCTGGAAAGCCTTAGCCATGGGAGACACATGGGAGGGGTGTGTGTGTGTGTGTGTGTGTGTGTGTGTGTGTGTGTGTGTGATGAAACTAGAGATCTGAAGCTCAGGTTTTTTTTTTTGTTTTTTTTTTTATCTTCACCCAAGGACGTTTTTGCATTTATCTTGAGATAGAGCAGGAGGGAAAGAGGGAGGAAGAGAGAGAGAGAAACATCGATGTGAGACAGACACATCGAGTGGTTGCCACCCACACAACCCCAACCAGGTCTGGGGACAAACTGCAACCAAGGTATGTGCCCTTAGCGGGAACCGAATTCAGGCCTCTCTGGTCTGCGGGCCGACGCTCCAACTGCTGAGCCAAACTGGCCAGGGCTGAAGTTCAGTTTTTAAATTTGTGCAGGAAAGAGTTCGATTCCTAAGTTGTCAACTATTACTCCCATCCTTCTGCCACATGTGTGTACACATATATACTCACATGCACATGTGCACACACACATACCTAAATGCAGCCTTGTGACTGCTGCTGGCATGAGAAGCAGAGCAGACTTGCCTGGGGAACACAGCCACTGCTGAAGGCAGGGATGGACCCAGAAAAAGGGGTTAAGCAGGGATGCTGTTCCCAGGCTAAAAATGGGAGAGGTTTTTTTTTTTTTGCTGGGGAAAGCGACCAGTCTAAGGGAAGAGAACTATAGATGGTAATATTTGGGGATCTTCTAGTGAAACAGTGAAGCCACTGGTCAGCCAGCCCTCAACCTGGGTACACAGAGATTCCAGCCAGTGTTCAATGGCTCACTTTTATCTGTCTGTCTGTCTGTCTGTCTATCTATCTATCTATCTATCTATCTATCTATCTATCCATCCATCCATCCACCTACCTAATCTTTTCTTTAATCCTTACCTAAGGATATGTTTTTACTGATTTTTAGAGAGAGAAGAAGGGAGGGAGAAAGAGAGGGAAACATTGATATGAGAGAAGAATATCGATCAGTTTCCTCCCATACATGCCCTGACCTGGGATTGAACATACAACCTAAGTATATGCCTTGACTGGGAATCAAACCTGCAACCTTAAAAACTTTTTTTTAAATTGATTTTTAGAGGGAGAGAGAGAGAAATATCAATGTGAGAGCAGAACATGCCACCCACAATGTAGGGAGCTGGAAAAAAAAAAAACTTAGATATCCTCAAAGATTTTGGAGAAAACATGGCATCTGTGAAACAAAAAATAGAAGACCATAAAACAAACCATGTAGAAAACAAAAAAAGAGGAGCTTTTATAAAGTAATATATATGATAGCAGAAATTATAAGGCTCAGTAGGATTGAAAGATAAAGTTGGAGCTAAGAAAATTAGAAGTTGAGCCTAGGAGTTCCAACATCAGAACAGTAGTTCTAGTAAGAAAGAACAGAGAAATAGAGGATAGGATATTGTCAAAGAAAGAATAAAAGGAAATTGACAGAACTGAAAGATATAGTGTCCAAATTCAAAGGGCCTATCAAATTCTGAGCTCAGAGAATGAAAAAAGACCCATCTCAAGGCACATCCTATTGGAATTTCAGAATGCCTAGAGAACATCTCAAAAGCTTCGAGAGCGAACAAACGGTACCTATCAAGGATCGGGAATCAAGAATGCCATCCTTCTTCTCAGCAGAAACCATGGAGTGTGATCCTCAAAATTCTGGTGAAAAATTATTTCCTGTCTAGAAATCAGGTTTCAACCATTTTTACACTGAAGTGTGTGAGAGTTGGAATAAAGGCATCTTCAGACAGGCAGAATTTCAACAAATTAACTTTGGTGCAACCTCTCTCAGAAGTTACTACATGATTCATTCCACCAGATAAGAGGAAACCAAGAAAGAAGCTATAAGATGCAGAGAACAGGGACTCAATTCAAAGGTCAGAGAAGTTCTTAAGAGGAAGGCGAAGGAAGATGACTTAGGGCCATAATGTAGAGCAGGCCTGGCGGGCATCCGTCCACATTGGATGGAGGGTTTCGGGAGAGATGTAGCTAAGAGTTAAATGGCCCTGAGAGGACACCTTCCCTTGTCAGAATCTGGGCGTGAATTTGTGATGGGTCCTTGAAAACCAAGCAGCATGAAACAAGGCAGTTCTTAATTCCAGAGGGAAAAAGAGTTGTATAAGTAAGGAAATGTATTTATATTATTCTACGAAGTCGTAGCACAAACTCTGAGTGTTGATTTAATGATTTTCTATTTGGGAGGATAAGGCAAGAGAGGATTTTGTGTGTTTTGGGGGTGGAATACATAGCTAATTCCCATCTTTTTGTTGTTGTTAATCGTCACCTGAGGATATTTTTTCCATTGGTTTTTAGATAGAGCCAAGGGAAGGGAAGGAGGGGGAGAGAGAGAGAGAGAGAACACTAATTGATTGCCTCCTGTACGACTCTAACCAGGGCCTGGGATTGAACCTGTAACCCAGGTATGTGCTTTTGATCAGAATTGAACCTGAGACCTTTCTGTCCATTAGCCGACATTCTAGCTGCTGAACCAGACCAACCAGGGCTAATCCTCATCTTTACAGTGGAAAGTCTGTAAGTAATATCTGAATGGCAAAAGTGCAGATATGATGGAATAAGCTTGTTATTTAGAAATTTGGATATAAATAGCAGAAGCGTCGTCAAGAGTTGAAAGTAGTTGCTTCTGGGGAACAGGAATCAGCAATGGGGAGAGGTAGGGCAGGAGATACTATTTTTCTTTGTATTCCTTGTGTTTTAAACTTTAAATATATATATGATTTCTTTTATTAAAAGATAAAATTAAATAAAAATCACAAATTGAAAGGATTTACAATAAAGATGGGAAGGTTCCAGATTATTGTGAGCCTTGGCTACTAACTAAAGTGTTTAACGTGAAGGCAGTGGGGAGTCAGCTGAAGTTGTGAGTGGGAGCATGACATATGGGGTCAGTCTGATATGGTTACCTGATGGCAGTTTATAGGCTGGATTGGAGTGGGGAGGCAGTTCAGGGCTAGTTGGATATAGAAGTGCAAGTCAAGGGCAGAGAGACAGCATAAGAAGCTCTCAGGCTGAGTGGTTTATGGACAGTCAGCAGAAAAGGAGGAGTCAGGGAAGATGGTGTGGTTTAACCCTGGGAGGAGGACTGACCTAAATAAGAATGGGAAAGACTTATTTTCACCAAGTTCCTTTTTCTCAGGGAGAGAGCTGTGGTGTTTAGTTTAATCCAAAGTGACAGCAGGTGTTGAAGGCAGGGCAGTCTAGTGGGTGCAGTCCAGACAGAATTGGGAACTAGCCATGAGGCTGGGAACTGCTTGAGGAGAAGCCATTTCTGGGGAGTCTTTGAGTTTAAAAGAATCAGTAAAGAGGTGGCAACAAAAGTTATCTAGTAATCTAACCCTGAAAATTGAGAAGGATACCAACCTGAAGCATGGTAGTCATTTGAGTAAGGTAAGAATTCAGAGAAGAGGAAGTGAGAAGAAGGTAGTCAGGGAACAAAGACACTCTAACAGTTTGGAATCACACAATACAATCTACATTGGGTTCTCTTTGCAGTGGGATAATCCTATTTTCTTCAGTGATATCTCTACATTTTATTTTATTTTATTTTACTATTACTTTTATATCTCTTACCTTTTAAAACCACTTTCCTTTCTACCTCTCCATACTTAGAATGGAAAATTTCAAGCATACACCAAATTTGAGAGAATAATACAATGAATCCCTTGTAACACTCACCTGGTTCCAATAATTAATAGCATTTTGTTTCATCCAACCTCCCAGGAGAGGGGGCCAATGAATTTTAAAGCAAATCCCAGACATCATATCCTTTGATCCATGAATACATCACATATGTCTCTAACAGATGGGGTGTTTTTGTTTGTTTTGTTTTTTAAATAAGAAAACTACCATTATCTCACCCCCCCCAAATTAACACTATTTCCTTATTTCATTTCATACCCAGTCTGTGTGTCATTTTTCCTAGTTGTCTTAAAAGTGTTTTTATACTTGATTTGTCTGAATCAGATCCAAATTAAAGATGAAAACATTGCTTTTGGTTGATATGTCTCATAAGTCTCTCTTAATCTATAAGTTTCCCCACCCTTTATTTTTTCAGGCTATTTATTTGATGAAGATCCTGGGTATTTGTCTTATAGTTTCTCATATTCTGGTTGTGGCCTTGTGGTGTTGTATGACATGTTTTCTGTCCTTTGTCTTTTCTATAAACTGGTAGTTATATGGAGGCTGGATTAGATTCAAATTCACCTTTATATTTAGCCCAGGCCAGTTTGGCTCAGCAGTTAGAGCATTGGCCTGTGGACCAGAGAGTCCTAGGTTCGGTTTCTGCACGTACCTTGGTTGCAGTTTGTCCCTGGCCCAGTTGGGGTTGTGTGGGTGGTGACCAGTCGATGTATCTCTCTCACATAGATGTTTCTCTCTCTTCCCTCCCCTCACCCTCCCTCTCTATCTGAATACAAAAAAAAAAAGTCCTCAGGTGAGGATAAAAAAATAAAATTGCAGTATAATTTGCTTACAGTAAGATATACAGATCTCAGATGTACAATTTGCTGAGTTTCAACAAATGCATATGCTCATGTAACCCACACCCCATCAAGGCATAAAACATTTCCATCACTTTGTGAGGGTCTCTCTCTTCCTTTCTTTTGATCACCTTGTGTGTGTGCAAATGAAATTAAATCTGTCAAGCATGGCTGAGGTTTTTACCATCTATTCTAGTCCTGCCTTGCCCATGGGCATTTTAGGACCAACTTTGGACAAGTTGTTCCTCTCCAAAGGGAATGTGGAGAGTCCTGCTGCTATTTGCACCAAACTTCCAATCATGCAACGTGTTTTCAGTTGCCAGTAAAAAATGTGGGATCCAATAGGCTTAAGTAATGAAGAGAATTTATTGGCTTATGTAACAAAATTCCAGATGTAGGTGCTGGTTTCAAGTGAAATCTGAACTTGGCTCAGCAATATCACCAAGGGGCCAGACTTTTTCCCATTCTTCTGCTCTGCCATCCACTGGGTCAACTTTATATTGTATTTGGGTCCAAGATGGCAGCCAGTAGCTCCCAGACTGCATGCTTTCTCAGTCATAGCCTGTAAGAAAGAGAAACTATTTTTCCCAGAATTCATAGCAAAATTCTCAGTATTCACTGATTGACCTGCATTTGTCCACTTCTGGTCTAATCAATAGTTCAACTCCCGGGTTGGAAGTAGAGTCCTCCCCAGAACCATATAGACTGCCTGAATGGGAATCAGGAGCTAGTGGCAAGGAGAAATTGGTTGCTAAGGATACAACCACAGATGTCTGCTATAATCGTCTAAGCCCCAGAAGCCTCTGGGAGTGTGGGGCCTGCCTGTGCTTCCCCGGAGCAGCCAAGCTGCTGTGCCAGACCCCGCCCTTCACCTCCCTTGGTCCGTCCTTGTCAGCTATCCTGAGAGTTGGCTAGAATTGGAAGGTCGGGGTGGGGTGGGCACTGTATTCATGCTGAGCTTCATGTTTCCAGCTGGGAGAAACGCACAGACCCCCGAGGCAGGTTTTACTATGTGGATCACAACACGCGGACCACCACCTGGCAGCGCCCCACCGCCGAGTACGTGCGCAACTACGAGCAGTGGCAGTCACAGCGGAATCAGCTCCAGGGCGCCATGCAGCACTTCAACCAAAGATTCCTCTACCAGGTGAGAGGGCAGGATGTACAGCTTGGTGTAGTCTCCATCGACCTGTTTGGTGAGCAGGGAAAAATGTCAGTGCCCTGACCCTGGAGATTTTACTCCTCACCGTGAAATTCCTCAAACTCCAGTGTTTCTTAGTAGCTCACTGCCCAGCCCCTGTGTCTAAGGACTCAGTGTATCTGAAACGGAATTCACCATCTTTCTTCCAACACTGGATTTCTTTTCTGGCCCTCCCGTCCAAGTCCATTTACCCTGACTTGAAACCTGAAGGTCAGCTGTGACTTCTCCTGTACCTCACCGTTTTAAATCAAAGCAACCACCCAAATCCTCTTTCGATTGCTGCTGTGTTTCTTCAGATCTTTGTTATCTGAAAGATACTCAAGGATGGAGGGACCTTTAAGATTCATCTAGACCAGGGGCTGGCAAACTCTGGCTGGTGGGCCAAACTGGTCATGCCTGATTTTGTAAAGTTTTATTGGCATATAAGCACACCCTGTAATTTAGGTATTGACTGTGGCTGCTTTCATGCTATAATAGCAGAGTTAAGTAGTCACAACAGGGACTAGATACCCCATAAAGCCTAACATATTTACTGTCTGACCCTTTACCGAAAAGGTTTATTGACCCCTGGTCTAGATCAACCTCCTGCTGTCTAATTCCTGATTTTCCTCTGCCTCTCCCAAATGAATGGTCAGGGAAGTTCTGAATTGTCCTCTCTGCTGGCATTTTCTCTCTTCCAGTCCATGCTGCCTGTTCCCAACAGGGCAGTCCTCAGATATCACTGTCGTTGCATCACGTTTTTTTAAAAAAAACACCATGGAGGGTTTAACGAGGGAAAGTTGCTCTACATTTGTTACTGTCATTTTTTTTTTTTTTTATCACTGGCTCAAAAACTTGTGTGGTCATTATCTACAGGATAGCATTTAAATATCCTACTCCAGAATTCAGAGTGCTGTAGTCCCAAATTAACTGTCTAGTAGTCTCCCGTCCTGTGAGCCCTCTGAGCCCCCCTTGCTGAGTCTCCATTCCACGAGAGCCTCTAGCTGGTGGCTAGGAGAAGCCCAGCCCCACAGCCTCTTTGGGAAGAAGAAGTGGGATTCCCCAGAGGGAACTCTGCATTTTCTCCAAGCACTTTGAACCTGAAGCTTGAGATCTGTATGGAACCCGCATAGGATCTGGTGGATTGGAGGTTGGAAACTTTCTGAGCCGGTCCACACCACTTAATCACCGTGTTTAATCCATGTTGTTTCTATTTGAAATGAATTTTAACCCCACAATTCACTTCTAAATCAGATACTACCCTAGTTTGGTTCAGAAAATCTTTAATTCCATTTAATTGAGTTCATTATCAGCATTGCCTTTATTTGCAGCTCTTTCTCTGCTCCCCCAAAGCAGGAGCCACACCATCAACCACAAGGCATGGTGGCATCTCCCTGGGCTGGCTTGCCCCCTCTTCTTTCTATGGGAGCTGGTGCTCATCATACCATGAGGACACTGATGAGGACCTCAGTTGGTTTAGTATGGATGAACAGAACGCATGGTGTTTGCACATTAAATTACATACAAGAAGGAGCAATTGAAATGCCCTGGTGGACCCCCAGGTGCAGCACTGCTTATGTCCTTATGCCCGTCCTCCCACTCCACAACCCCTTTCACACGTGCCTGGCATCTGGTTCTGGCACGTTTCAAAATTGGATACAGTTAGGTCATTCTCTCTATTTCAGAAATTGTTCTTGAGCTGGACCCCACAGACCTTACCTGCCATTTTCTTGTGTGGCATGGCTATTAAGCTGGGAAGGTGCGAGCATCTTTGTCCTTTGACTTCGAGACAGGAACACATATTAGGAGTCTCACCTGGTCTGTCTTCCTGCTTACTCAACTTCTCAAAAAAGAATCCATTAAAAGAATCTTTTTTTTTTTTTTTCTCTCTTCTCTACCATGTACCAGGTAAGCTCTATAGGTTGTCCAAGATGTGTAGTGTGAGAGGGAAGATTCTGGAGTTCACGTCTGCTTGGTCTTTGGCACATTCATTGTGCTTCCCTGCCTCTCATTTTAGCAGAGGAAAAACTCTGACTTGGAGGGTCTCCTAGAAATAAAAATTAAGCACTAAAAATACTTTTCTTCCTAAGTACTCTAATATGGTTTTCTCAGCTTGGTTGGGGATTCAGGACTGTTCTGGATGGAGGCGAAGGTTCCCTTTACTCCCTGAAACAAGACTCATATTTTTTGGGTCAGCTTTCAATGTCTCTCTGTTGGTGTCTCTCTCCCCGGATTTGGTTTGCCCCTCTTGTTTGCTATGGTGCCATGTCCTGGTTACAAGTAAGAAGAGTTGCTTTCATGGAGTTATTTTGGGGTTTGGCCTTGGCCCAGGATTTTACTTGGTAGACTTAAGAGCTGATACTATACCAGTGGCTTCCCTGCCTCCTCCTGTGGGGCTGAAAGCAAGACCTGTTCTTTGTTGCCCTGCAGAGAACATATAATACAGTTCAAAATGGAAATCAAGGGAATCCCAGAATGCAGACTCCTGCAGTTCCTTCCTGCTGTCTGCCTCAACGCACACCGTTTTCAGTCTGTGTTATTGTTCCCTTATTTCTGACCTGTTTTCCTCTCCTGACTTCTGGGGCCTTTGTTGCTCATCAGCATTGTGCACATACTTGGGTTCCCCGTGCGCTTTCACATTGGTCTGCTCCTAATAACTGAAGGACGGATCTAGATTCAACAGGGCTGAAGCAGATCATCCAGTGGCTCCTAATGTGAGGACACCAAACTGCATTATCTAGAAAGGGACAGCTTGGCTCTTACTGTGCACAGGGCCCTTGGCTTGAATTCTCAAGCACCTGGGTTTTGTTCTGCACCCACTGGAGGTATCCTTTTCTAAGAAAAGGAGCCTGCCTTCTACACTGTAACCTTTATGCCCTTCCCAGAGCCTTTCTTGCCCTCGGTTGTATTTGTTAGACATTCTTTATTTCTGAGTTTGTATCTTAAAATATTACAGGAACTTAGTGCTTATTCCCTGAAGGACTTGAACTCATGTGAGCTATCTGGCTCATGTCCTGTACCCCAGATCTCCCAACCCAAGGACACTTACCAGGAAAATCATTCAACAGCATTCCTCTCTGTTCCTAGTAATAAAGGAAACTGTCTCGTCTCTTAGAAAGTCACCTGCAGGTTCTAGGATCTTGCTTCTGACTATGATCCCTCCATGCCCCTTTCTCTGTGCTTTTCTGGCTGTATGCCAGGTACCACATGGGCTCTTGGGGAAGTGTGGTAGACTAGAAGGGGCATTTGGTTGGCTCATTAGAAATGTGGGGTTTTGTTTGTTTTTCTGACCATGATGTGCAGCTTTTATTTTTGTTTCTCCTTGGTTTCTGTAAACTTCCTTTTCTTATTTTTCAAGTTGTGCTATGTACATTAGGGAAGAAATATCCAAAATAGTCAAGTGCTTTGCTTTAACTGGCAGAGGTGAAATCGTTATGAGTGTTGGCTTTCAGTGACTCCATTTCATGTGTTCGTGTTTATCAATCTCTGGTCTTTCTCCCATCCTTCTCTGCTTCCTCTTCTTGCTTCTTATAGGTGTTGGGGGTGTGGATCTGATGGGGTGAGAATAGGAGGATGCTGAAGAAATGTAAAAAACACCGCTTTAACAAAAGAGAGCCAACATTGTATGAAGTTAGTGACATTAAAAAGTCAAGGACTGTCCTGGCTTGTTTGGCTTAGCGGTTAGAGCATCGGCCTGTGGACCAGAGAGTCCTGGGTTTGGTTCCCACTGAGGGCACTACCTCGGTTGCAGTTTGTCCCTGTCCCAGTTGGGGTCGTGTGGGTGGCAACCACTTGATGTGTTTTTCTCGCAACGATGTTTCTCTCTCTTCCCCCTCTCTCCCTCCTGCTCTATCTGAAGATAAATGCAAAAATGTTCTCAGGTGAGGATAAAAAAAAAAAAAAAAAAGTTGAGGACTAAGACAAGGACTGATAATTTCTTTTTATTCTCCTCCGGGTGTTGTATACTAGTCAAAGTTCATTTTGATGAATAATAGAAACCCACTTGGTTAAACTTAAGCAGAAAAAGAATTTATCAAATGGGAATTAACAGAACGATGAAGAACCAAGCTCTGGCAGAAAACCAGGGGTAAACAAGGCAAAGGAGTTGTTTGCATAGGACATTGCCCCATCCCTCTTCCATGAAACATCTGATGCTCCAGTGAGCCATGGACTGGACTGCAGCCCTGAGGAGTCTCCAACAGCCTTCATGCCTTCAAGCCAGTCCCTGCAAGTTCAGTATGGGGGCATCTGATTGGCTGTTCTTAACTCATGTGCCTACCCTCTAGATGCCATTGTGTTGGGAAAGGGAATATTTGCTAGCTGAATATTTGTAGTTCAATGCAGGGCACAGAGACTGTCTGTCAGTAAAGCCATTTGGTCTGTTGATTTATCCAGTTAAGCAAAAGATGCCTGTAAGTCCACTGAAACCCAGTTGATATGAGTTGGGAGCTAATTTCCCATCGGAGCCCCTGAATGCTTTGCGGACTATCCACTCTTTCCAAAAAAAAAAAAAAGAAGAAAGAAAGACCAACAAACAATTTTGCACCAAGTGCTTCTTTTAAATTCTTAAAATGACCTTTTCTGTGCAGCTCAGTACTTAACCATGGCCTTGCATTTGGCTTTGTTATCTGAAATGCATGTGTGTTTCACATTAGGTCCTTTCCTTTCATTGACAATTGCTTCTGCACCTACTGTCCCTGTGTCTGCACTACAAGACAAACCTGGAGGGACTTGGGCTTATGAGCCACTGCGCCCTACCCCCAACAAAATGAGCTCCTCTTCAGGAACCGCCAGACAAGCCTGAGTTGTGGAGATGTCGAGCACGTCCTCCACGCTACAGCGATGCTAACGTGCCCTAAGTTGAGGACAGCCTGCTTCCCACACCTTGGTGCAGTTTCATTCTGCTGGGTTGGAGGCCCCTTGCTGAAAGGGGGCTCTGTCCCATCAAGGAACCTATGGTTTCAAGACTTAAACGTCTTTGTTGGAACTCGCTTTGGAAGAGTTGCTCGCGCTGCCACCTTGGAAAGAACGTTTCTCTGTCCTTTCAGCTGGGGATGGAGGGCAGCTGTGAAAGGGGGTTCGTGGGCCGTTGAGTTCCACCAATGTTTTCTCAAGCTGAGACTGAGCTCCATTCATCCTCATGCCTGTGTGTGGCTCTGAAGGGGCCAGCCAGGCAGCTCGAAGTCAGCATTGAGAACTTGATCCCCTAATGTAACGATTAAATTTTAGTAAGTGAAATAAAAATGTTTCAGAAAGAGAAAGAGAGAGAGAGAGAAAGCACAGAACAATACTTGTTTTATGGAACTATGAAGAGTTTCTGACAGCACCCCCTTCCCTGCAGGATATGAGAACTCTCCGTCCACTGCACCCCTGCCCCAGGGACCTTGCAGCAGTTTGGTGGGGGGTGGGGAGCTCTAATATAAACAGCGACCATGAAGTCCTGGAGTCAGCTCCCCCTTCTTTCTCCTGTCTCCCCTTCTCTCTTGCCACCTCGCCCCCAGCCCCACCTCCCCAGACAGGCACACACAAAACAGTGAGCAACTTCAGGTTCAGGCCGGAGGAGAATAAAGGTGCTTTGTGAAGGGAAGCAAAACATTCCTGGGGGAGGTGAGGGGCCTGGGGCATGAATGTGCCCTCAGTCTGGGCCGGTGCTGCACACCCTGCTCCCTCTCCCAGCGCACCCAGGAGGGAGGTGGAGAGTGGAGGGCCCAGCCCCCAGCCAGGAAGCTCTGGGCGTGGGCAGGGCTTGTGGGAATGATTTCATTGGAAAGGCCTGCGATATTTTTTCCCCTCCCGTGTGTGGTTCTTGGAGAAAGTTGGAGGTGGTGGTGATTTCAGTTGCTTTGGCCGCCGGGAGCAGGAGCTGAGCAGAGGCACTGGGCCCGCCAAGCTTGCCAGCAGTCCGGCTCGGGGCCCTTCGGCCATGCCTGGGGCCGGCCCGCTGCCTCCGGGGCCCCGGCTCCCCTACATCTGCAAACCTCTTCCTTCCCCTCGCTCCATCCTGTCCAAAACCTGTCTGGTTCCTCAGTGCGTGGGGTTCTTTTTCAGTTTTTCTTTTTTGAAAAATACTTTTGAGGGGAGCAGAAGCCACCTAAGGCCCTACTATGTTCTCTACAAAGAGCCCAAATGTGGAAATGAGTTGTTGGCATTTTTAATTTTATCTATCAATTTATTTTTAACCAGCGGCTTTTTTTTTTTTTTAACCTGTGTTCTGCTGTGTTTCTTGTGTTTAGTCTTCAAGTGCTTCAACCGACCATGACCCACTGGGCCCCCTCCCTCCTGGCTGGGGTAAGTACTGCGCCTGCTTCTGTGCCCGCGGCCTCCCTCAGCCGGTGCTCCACTGGCTCTGTCCTCGCCCTCAGCCTCCCTTCACTGCTCTGCAGGCAGTGGCGTTCCCCTGCCCTCAGCGTTCCCCTGCCACAGCTGAAGGAGGGTGACCCTTAAAAGAAGTCCCCAAGTGGCTGTGGCACTGTTGAGTTTTGGTCCTGACTTTTAAGGTGCCTACCCAATGGTCCATCCTGCCACTGAGCCGTTCTGACGCTCGCTGATTCCCAGATGCGTGTGTTTCAGTCTGTGGCTGTGTGACTGAATGGAGCCACCTTACCAAACCTTTCTTTGCAGCCGAGATGTTGGAGGACTTCAGCCTAATTTTGGCTAATGGAAGCCACCTCTTTTGGGGATACAGCTGTAAAAAGGGCCAGAGAGAAGCCAGCTGAATGCCAGGTGGCAATTCTGTGAAAGTACATCATTGCTAGTTAATAGCATCACACTGGCTTCTTGTGATTGGCAGCTGCCTCTTACCTAGTCTCAGTCCTTGATGTGATTTGCAATAATAGTTAGATGGACTTCCACGACCTGAGAGAAATTACAGGCTTTATGGCCATTCTGAGGAGGAGTGGTTATACAGAAAGGGTCATGGTGAGACTCAGCGTTTGCCCTCGCTCTTTGAGCTGGGCCAGGGTTTTGTTCAATAGGCAAGAGCTCCTGGGAGCTAAAGAGGACCATTTTGGCAGGACTTGGCGTGTGTCAGGTTTAATGGATTGGTTAGGGCAGCAGGAGACAGTAAATACTGGTTTGGTGGTGTTCACAGATGGTATTAAGTTGGGCAGTACGTGCTCCTCTGGGAGGATGAAGAGCTGACAATGAGAGGATGAGCATCGACCCTCTTGGTACAGACATAACTACTCTCTGGTAGTAATTTTTGAGGTTGCATCAACCCCTTGGACCTGCAGGGCTTCAATTAGTAAATTACCACTGCATTCCAGAGCACTGGTGGGACCTCCTAGTCCTCCCCGTGGGATATATCCGCTCGGGAGGCCTCCACACAATTCTTGTTCTGCTAGGGAATCCCTTATGCCGCCATATGATCCACCTTGCACCCTGAGCTGCTGAAAGGTTATTGCTGTCTCAGAAACTGGCGGCAAGTCAAATGTGAAGGAGTCCAACGTAGGATCCCTGGCTAGATAGGGGAAAACTCAACAGGTTAAACAAGAATCTGTAATGCTGTGTGGCAGCCAGTAGACACTGTGACCTAGAGCTGAGGACTCGGAGTTATACCTTTCTCTGTAGAGTTAAGTAGTTGATTTCTGTACCAGTTTTGCTAAATGATGATCACCAAGGAAGAGCAGCTATGAGGACTTGTAAACAGCTCCCAGAAGCCAAGTGTGAAATATTGAGGTGGGAATAGAGGCCATGGTTCGGGTCAGTGCTGTTTACATATGATGAAGAAACACACAAAACTTTAATGGTATGTAACTGAGAAAAAAGAACACCAGCAAACCTTCCTAATCAAATCCTTTGGGCTCTGTGTTGGCTTCTCCAGGGCTGGTGCAGGCCTCCCCCCCAGGGAGAGTTAAGATGGGACGGAAAGAGCAGCAAAACTAAACAAGAATCCACTTAGCATGTGCCTGCTGTCAAGTCTACTGTGTTCCCCTGCTCTCAGTTCTGTGTCCCTTTCTGCTTGTCCACGAGACCTCATGGTCCTTCCTGGGCATCAGCTCACAGGTCAGGACATCTCAGCTTGAGATCCATGTCTCTTCAGCTGCCCTTACCTTGGGCTCATGACCGAATGTTCCTGAGTCCATGTCTCCCTGAATTAGGGTGAACTAGATGCCCGTAGGACTCTCCCAGCCCCAAACTATCTGTGTGCAGCGAAGCAGTCCTGGTGGACTGCCAGAGGCCCCCGCAGGGAGCAGTGCCAGCAGCAAGGTCAGGCCTCAGACCAACTGGACAGATCCCTCAACCAGGCTGTTGGCGTTGGCCGCGGCCGGGGCAGAGCAGATATGGAGTATCTAGTTCAAAGCAGAAGCCCTGGCTGGGACCAGCCCCTCCCTCCCTGAAATCCCTCTTGGGAAGCCTGTCTTCTGGGAGCATCCCGCAGCTATGCTGAGGTGGTGGTAGCTCTGTAGCAGTTCTGGGCACCTTCTTTTCTTTCTTTCCTTTTGTTTGTGTTTTTAAAATGTTCATCAAGCAATGAATACCAGGTAAGGTAGATAAAGAGCAACATCCTGGGTTGATATTGGTCCGCTGCACCCTGATACTTGAGGGAAGGGGGCTGGACCCCCAATTCTGCTCTTTTTCAGCTTCTGGAACTGATAATTTTTATTTCTTTAATTTTGCCCTGTCATTGTAAGCGAGAGAGGGCCATTAACATCATTTGTTTTCAGGACAGAAACAGATTGGAAGGCTCAGAAACTTCCTGGGAAAGGTGACCTATCTTGGGTTCAGAACCTTGCCCTTAGTTTTGCCTGCCATCCACCTAGACCTGATGGGGTGTCCCTTTTAACTTTTTTCAAGGTCCAGAATCCCCTGCTAGAATTGGGTCTGCCCCTGAAGCCCAGACTCCCTCCCTAGCGGACCCCAGAGCCATCATCAGTCAAGGGCAAGAGAATAAAGATTGTCCAGAGGCGAGAGAGAGAATGTCTGAACTCCCTAAACGCTGCCCTGTCTGGAAGCGTCACTCAGGTGTAAGGACTAGATGGGCATCACAAGTGCCACAGCCCCTCGCATTATGTGCATATGTACATTATAGAGGCTGGGCTGGGATGTGAGCATTTTAGAATAAAACTTTGCCTTTAAGCAGGAGAAAGAAGATAAAGTAGAGGGTATGTAGGTGCTGAGTGCTGATCAGAGAGGTATGAGGGAAAATGCAGCCCCCACAGGCGCCTGGGTCCCTATCATGTGGGCAGAGTGGTTGCAGGACCAGAGACCAGCTGTCATAGACTTGGTGGGGGTGGGACCATGCTTGGGGGGAGACCGAGGGGAGACTGGCCATGCCTCCACTTTGCACACACAGCTGGATACAATTACACCTCTGGTTTCAGCTGGGCTGCTCCCCCTCCATGTTGCCACACTGCCCCCTCCCTCCAAAAAACCAACCAACCAAAGACAGTGCTTGCTCCTGAGTTGGAAATGTGTCTGTCTTTCCCCCACCCCCCAATAGGGAAAGATTCTCTTTGTCCTTTTCTGCCAGTGACAGATGTGTGTGAGCCAGGCTTTCACTGGTTAAACTTCTCTAACAGAATGGGAACTGCGGCAGAAAGTCAGACCCAGCACCTGGAAAGGGGCACCCAGAGGGGAGAGAACATACTCAAGATGTCTCAATCTGATTGTCCTCTCTTCTTTCTTCTCCCTGGCAGAGAAAAGACAGGACAATGGACGGGTGTATTACGTGAACCATAACACACGCACTACCCAGTGGGAGGACCCTCGAACCCAGGGGTAAGGACTCCGGCTGGGAGGGGCTGAGCCCTGTGCAGCTCTAGCATTGGCTGAGTGGCTGTGGACGGCGTTTGTCCTCTACAGCCAATGTCCTGGGACCTTCAGCCACCCACAGTACCCACCTAATGAGAGCTTAAAAGTAACTCCTTAAATTGACCTTCCTGGTAGGCAGACAGTGGCCTGAAGGGTCTCTGTGCTGATTGAGCAAGTTGCCGATAATGTGATTTCACCCGTTACTCCCCCACTCCCAGAAGCTAGCCTGGGGCTGGGCCAGTTGGTGCCTCAGGATTGCTGGTGGCGACTCAGGCCACAGCCACCTAGGGCTGGTTCTCTGGCCTTGGGAAAATAATGACCTCTCTCTTCTGCAGAACTGTCCTCACGACTTGGGTAGTACCAGGTACATTTCTTCAGGGCCCACGCTCAAAGGCTTTGCAGACCTTGGGTGAAAGCAGAGAGAAAGGAGCACTTTGGGGACCCCGGCCTCCTAAGCATTGAGGCCTAGAAGGTGAAGCCTGCCCTTAACCCACCTCTTCTCCTGTTTCCAGAATGATCCAGGAACCAGCTCTGCCCCCAGGGTGGGAGATGAAGTACACCAATGAGGGGGTGCGCTACTTCGTCGACCACAATACTCGCACCACCACCTTTAAGGATCCTCGCCCAGGGTTTGAGTCAGGGTAAGGACTTTCCACAGGCGACAGCCGTGTGTGTTAAGCACAGGCCTTTTATCCTTGTTCATCTGCTCTTACTGCCCTCTAGCGGCCAATTTCCATGTCACATTAGCAGGGTTGGAGGGCAAAAGTGTCGCCCTATTTATTCAAAGTAACACCAGTGGTGTCTGTCTCTCTGTCTTGTTCTCTCTCTCTCTGGCTATCTTTCGTTATTTTTCCCCCTCAAATCTGCCACAGATTTTAATGGCAGTCACTTCTTTTCTTTTATGCCTTACCTTGCTCGTCTTTAACAGCACCCGCTTTTCTTAGGGCTAACAAGATACCTTGCTAATTTTTGAGAAATCACACAGATTCCTGAATTTCTTTGCTCTTCTTAGAACAAAGCAAGGTTCTCCTGGTGCCTACGACCGAAGTTTTCGGTGGAAGTATCACCAGTTCCGTTTCCTCTGCCATGTGAGTTCTGATACTGGGCCCTCCCCTTGAGGTTGGAGTTATGGAGTTATTTCAGCACAGTTCCCAGCCCAGCAGCAGTCTGGCCAGGTTGGGGTAGGTCACTTGTCTCACCCCAAGCAGTTGTTCAACATTGTCTCCAGGAAGCCAGCTCCCATTTCTAGGGACCAGGCTCTCCTCTCCTGGCCCAGGGAGATAGAGAAACCTGTTCTTGCTGACAGTAGACCAGACTGAATAATTGCCTCCTGAGGCCTGATTCAAGTTTGTTTTTTTTTTCTTTTCAGTCAAATGCCCTCCCCAGCCACGTGAAGATCAGCGTTTCCAGGCAGACACTTTTTGAGGATTCTTTCCAACAGGTTAGAATATAATTGTGGTGTCTAAGACAAGAGGCAGGCTGAAGGTCCCCTCCCGCCTCCCCATCTCCCATCGCATGGCCTGTTCAACCCACATGGTAATTTCCAAGGCCTGGGCCTTGGTGAACAGTGTCTGTCCCCTGCCCCCTGCCCCCAGCCTGCCGTGGAAGGGAGAGTGGCAGGCTGGCCACGGTGCTCTATCTCCCCAGATCATGAACATGAAACCCTACGACCTGCGCCGCCGGCTCTACATCATCATGCGTGGCGAGGAGGGCCTAGACTATGGGGGAATTGCCAGGTGAGCTCGGTGCTCCGGGAAGGCTGCTCTGCACCCCACTCCCCAGGCTACTGGGCCCGTAGCCAGAAAGTTGCCTTTTTGCTCAGGTTGATTGCCAGCGCTCTTAGGCTTCTTCAGGAGTGGGCACGGGTTTGGCCAGTTCGAATGGTGCTGGAGCTGGGTCCCAGGGTCCCCTGCTGGCTGGGCACTACCCTTTAGCTACTGGGTCATGGGGAGGCTGGGGGCTTCAGGGAAGGGCTCAGGACAGTGGCTCTTTCACTAACCAATATGTCATTATTTCTGTACTGGAACAACCAGCCCGCTGCACACATGGGTGGCAGCTAAATATCAGTGCCTGTGGTTGTCCATTAAAATCACCCCTGGGTTTCTCCTGCTCTTAAGGCAGATGGGGCAGGTTAAGTGGGGCAGCTTGGTGTGTACCTGACATGTATAAGCTGTGTCACAATCCAAAGGGCCTTGATCAGTATCCAGCTGCATGTCATGTGTACAGGGTCAATAAAATTCAAATAGCTGATACAATCCTAAAATGAGCCCAAAGCATCGTCTTGCCTGCACCATAGTCCACCTGCAAAAGCTAACAGACTCTCTGGCAAAACGCTGCCTTGGACAATGGGCTGAAGGGCCCTGGGCAGAAAGAAGGAGTACCTTAGCCTGTGATCCACTCAGTTCACTCACCTCTCACGGAGTGGGGACATCTTGCTTGGTGTTGGGTTAACTTGCTGCTGGTCCTCTGTTCATTGGTGGCTTTGCCCTCTGTGTTGGCCCCGGTGGATCGATTGCTCTTTTTCCCATGGTGATCGTGGTGACCTCCTCTCCAGGCTCTGCTTGGTGGGCTTCTGGTGTGGCTCCCGCCCTGTGTCTGTCTGTCTCTCTGTGTCCTGCCAGTGGTTTTACCCTATGGTAGGTTACGTCATGCTGTTCTACCACAGGGTAGAACCACGGACAGGATACCGGGGCACCCTCTGCATCGAAGGACTCCTCGTCTGCCTGGCCACAAACAGCCCAGCAGCCAGGGACTGGCCCCCTTGGGGTGTTCCCCTGCTGGTTTAGCTGAAGCCCAAAAGGATTGAATTCTGGTTTGAGGCTTGTACCTAGGGATGCTAAGGTGTGGGCGTTGGTTCAGATGAATATATGGAAGTACGAGAAAGGTCTGCTAATGTGGGGTCTGGGATGAAGGGAGGGCAGAGTGCAAGGGAAGTCAGATAGCTACAGTGGGAGTGAGGTTTCTAATCTAAGACAACACGGATTACAGAGTTCATGCGGCAGGAGTTAGGAATGCATTGTCATGTATTCATAGTACGCTGCCTGCTCAGGTAGGGTGGAAACAGGGAGGCTGCTATTCACACAGCACCTTTGCAGAATTTAGAAAAAGATGCCCTTTCTCAAGACACTTCCATGTTGGGAAATGGTCGCACTGTTCTGGCTTTATCAGGAAAAAAACAGCTTGGTTGCTAGTTGCAGGAAAATTATTGCAATAAATGTGCAAATCTATGATATTTTACCATAGTACCCTTGTGTAGTACACAGCCTACACAACTGTGCATGATGGCCCAGGGTACAAGGAACCCCACTGCCATTAAGATGCTCCGGAGATCAGATGTAAAGTCCTGGAACGCACCACCTGGGAGCCGACACGCACGCATGCATGCACGCATGCATGTTTTCCTTCCTGGGCATCATCCTTGCTCGCCCTGGGTCTCACCCCCACCCCTGTTCACTACAGGAGTTACCCACTGTTACTACAGGGCAGCCCAGGTGATGACCCCAGTGGGCTCGACTCCCCAGGACACGTGTCTCCAGAGTAGCTGAAACGACCGCAGAGGAGAGTCGCACCTCCGGTGCGGGTGTGCAGGGAAGGGTCGGCTAGTTCTGTTTTTCTCTCTTCTCTCACAGAGAGTGGTTTTTCCTCCTGTCCCACGAGGTGCTCAACCCCATGTATTGTTTATTTGAATATGCTGGGAAGAACAATTACTGCCTACAGATCAATCCTGCCTCCTCCATCAACCCCGACCACCTGACCTACTTCCGCTTCATTGGCAGATTCATTGCCATGGTAAGAGTCATTGCGTGAGACCTCCAGGGAGGGTGGCATCCGAGGTGCCAGACCCAACACACCAACGGCAGCCTCGCCCTCATCCTCATCCTCACAGAACTCCTCACTAAACATGCAGAGAGCTAGAGCGAGTTCTGGAGCTGGTTCAGAGTTCTCTTAGTGCCCACCCTGGGGTGTCAAAGGTTTTCTATATGTTGATCTTGGAGGACTCGTCAAGCAAAAGCCCAGAGTCCCTGGGTCACGGGCTTCACTGAACACAAGTGCTCTGTTGAGGGTGTTGGGGTGACAGGCTAAGCACTACCATAACTGCCCACCTGCTGCCCATCCTGGGGATGCCACTGTCTCTCACGAGCCCAGGGTGGGGGTCATTTGGGAGTGTCCTTCGGGGACAATTTGACCTCTCTCTGCCAGGGGATGTGAAGCCTGCACTAGCTTAGACCAGAACCCTTGTAGGGAAGGGGGTTTCATGCATTATCTGTATTTATCTAGAAATAGGAACAATGTGAACGGTGGGGAGGGCGGGGGGGGGTGGGGAGTCATGTCACATGCATCCTGTCGAGTGTCTCTTGAGTTTAGAGGACCAGGATGAGGACGGGGAGTCATGGAGCCACAGTCCCACTGCCATATTTGGTAGTTTGAGATGTTTCACTGCCAATTTTCCTTTGCTTTGCCCTGTTCCCCTCTCAGGAGGACCCGAGAGCCATGACTAACTATGTCCCTTCCCCTGGTCTGGAAGTTTTTGGCCAAGGTATTGGGCTCAGGAAGTGGGCACATTTTTCCCAGGTCTAGAGACTTGCGTGGTCCAGCAGCCACCAGGCCAGGCCAGTAGAACCCCAGACTATTACTCACCACTGGCCCGCCAGCTCCCCGTCAGCGGCGTCTGCGTTATTTTTGGCTGCTTGTGCTGCTGCTCCGAGCGTCAGTGAGTCAGGGCTGCACCTGGCGCCGTGCGGACCAGACTTCTCTGTGCCTGTGCGCACATCCTTGCGAGAGCAGGGAGCCAGCAGGCAGGTGTGCCGGGCAGGCAGTGGGCCCGGAGGTGAGTCCTGACCAGGCCGGCTCTGCTCGGCCCCTGTGGTCTATAGGCAAGATAAGAGTCTCGAGGTCCTAGTCAGGACAAAGAGTGCTGCTTATTTCCCAGACCCTCCCCTTGGGCCCCTGGAGTAGCTGGATACTGAGGTGCTCTGAGGGACGGAGGGCTGCTGACAGTAACCAGGCTTTGGTTCAGAGCATCCTGGAGCCTGCCTCCAAAACACCAGACCTCTTAGCTGTGTCCATTCCTTCCACAGGCTCTATACCATGGGAAGTTCATTGACACAGGCTTCACCCTCCCTTTCTACAAGCGGATGCTCAATAAGAGACCAACCCTCAAAGACCTGGAATCCATCGACCCTGAATTCTACAACTCTATCATCTGGATCAAGTGAGTTGCCTTGCTTGCCCCACATTGGGAGGAGAGGGATCTCTGGTTGGAGATTAGGTGCCCACGGCCTTTATTTTCTCTGCTGTAGTGGCCCCTGAGCTGTATAAGTGCTTGTGGAGATGCACAGCTTCTAGGTCCCTCACAGGCGGCTCTGGAATTCTCTCCTGGCAGCAGGGAGGGGGCCTGTGCCGCGGTTCTGGGTTCTAGGCCACCTGTGAGTCCTCGTGTCCCATGGACACTGACAGTGAATGACAGAGCAGGATGGAGGGACGATCCTTCTAAGACAGACACCTTCCCTCTGTGCTCTCGTGCCCCCAGAGAGAACAACCTAGAAGAGTGTGGCCTTGAGCTGTACTTCATCCAGGACATGGAGATTTTGGGCAAGGTGACAACCCACGAGCTGAAGGAAGGTGGTGAGAGCATCCGCGTGACAGAGGAGAACAAGGAGGAGTACATCATGTGAGTCTCAAGTGCTGGGAGGCGGGTGGGGGCGCAGGAGGAGCAGACACACACCCGGCTGCAGAGGAAGGGTTTCCCGCTCTTGTTTCTGGGTGCCCTCTTCAGCCAGGCCCCACTAGGTCACCGGGGATCGCAAAAACCTCCCATTATGCATGGGCTTTATTTTTATTTTTTGTTAATCCTCACCCCAGGATGTTTTTCCATTGATTTTTAGATAGAGTGGAAGGGAAGGAGAGAGAGAGAGAGAGGTGTCCTCCCACATGACCCCGACCAGGGCCGGGGATCAAACCTGCAACCCAGGTATGTGCCCTTGATGGGGAATTGAACCCTAGACCCTTCCATCCTCGGGCCGATGCTTTAACTGCTGAGCCACACTGGCCGGGCTTGCATGGCCTTTAGAGGGCTGCCCGTGGCTGGCTGCGCTGACCAGAGCAGGGGGAGCCAGAGCCCAAAGCCTGTTACAGCTCCTCTTTGCTCTCTTTTTTCCCACGTGGTGGACTTCAAGATTGCAGGGCTGACTTTCTGTGAAGAGTCTCGAAACTTAGACATCTTTCTCCTAACCAAAAGGATTCTGTGTCCTTTGTGCTTAAATCCACTAACTCACATGCGTGCATGCATTCACCTGTGCACATTCTTCAGGTCTCTGGTTTTAGCTGTTAATATCCATGTGTCTGAGGCTCAGTCAGCAACAGTAGGAGAGGTGGCGGTGATTTCAGACTCATGAATCTCCGAGTTGCTTTGAGGTTTAAGAGGTTCTGCTCTGGCTGCTGCCAGAAGTCGAGTCTCAGCAGATTCCTCTCGGGCTCCACTGACAACTGGTCCTTGGTTTTAGGCTGCTGACTGACTGGCGTTTCACCCGGGGTGTGGAAGAGCAGACCAAAGCCTTCCTGGACGGCTTCAACGAGGTGGCCCCCCTGGAGTGGTTGCGCTACTTTGATGAGAAAGAGCTGGAGGTGAGAGCTGAGGTGGTTGGGTCCCTGAGCCCCTGCCTCTGGGGCGATCCTGCCCTTTGATAGCCTCACTGTACCCACAGAAACTCCCAGTAAAACCCCACACTCCCCAGGGCTGTGGCAGCAGCTGAATAACTTTGATTTGGGTCCTCACACCCACCCCTCCCTGGGTCCATGTTCAAGATCTGTGTTATCCATGTGATTAAAACTGCCCGCAGAAATGGCTGGCAGTGTCTGGGGTGGGCCCATCTGCTGGTGAGGGGGCGAGGCGCTGGTGGGGGCAGCAGCGCGCAGCTGACACCCTTCCCCTGCAGCTGATGCTGTGCGGCATGCAGGAGATAGACATGAACGACTGGCAGAAGAACACCATCTACCGGCACTACACCAAGAACAGCAAGCAGATCCAGTGGTTCTGGCAGGTGGGTCCTGCCAGGGCAGGGCAGGGTCTCGCTGGGGCTGTTACTGCAGCACCAAAGGAAATGAGACCTGCTCAGGCCTCAAGCCCAAGGGCCCTTATTGTGTTATCACCTACTCATCTCTGACACTCCCCTTTCCTCCCCCCACCACTTACAAAGGAGAGGAGAAGCCCAGTCTTGGGACACGTGGAGTGTGGCAGCTGGGCCGTGGCCAGTGCATTTGACTGGAGTGTTGGTAGTCAGCTGAGGTTCTCTGTAAACACTGGTGTGCGGTAGGGGAGCCCGCACAGGGAGGAAGGAGCCTATAGGTCACGTGGTTTCCTCCCAGCCAGGTAGGGCAGGGAGGCGAACACTGGATGCAGAGAAACAGAGTGAGCTTGTCTTCCTGTATAGACTGTGTAGGTCTTGTCACTGTGAAGTGTAGCAAACACACAAAAAGAGAATATATATAAATATTTTGGTTGGGGTGAAATTTACATATAAAATTCACCATGCTAAGCATTTTAAGGTGAACAACTCAGTGGCTTTTCACAGTATTGTGCAACCATCACGACTGGCTAATTCCAGAACAGTTCATCTCCCCACCCCCCAAGAATCCCTGTACCCATTAAGCAGTCACTCCTATGTTTTTGTATATTTTAAAAAGTAGAACTTGGGGGGCAAGAGAATTCCTGGCCCAAGGTGTTCCGGAGACAGAGATGTCCCATGGACTGGTGGGAATGTTCTATAAACACACAACCTCCTTGACGGAGCAGCTTTGGGGTTTCCCAGCTTGGTGGCTGTGAGCCCCGGCCAACCAAGCTTTATGCTCTCAGCTCCAAAGAGGAGAGAGTGGTGGGGGAGCTGGGCTGGGGTCACTGGGCTGCTTGCCTTTGGGGTTGCAGGTGGTGAAGGAGATGGACAACGAGAAGTGCATCCGGCTGTTGCAGTTTGTTACAGGGACCTGCCGCCTGCCTGTTGGGGGATTTGCTGAACTCATTGGTGCGTCTTCCCTTGCCACCCGGCCAAGTCAGGCAGATCTAGAGCTACTACCCTTGGGTGGGGGTGAGGATAGCTCAAAGGGAAGTGGGACCTAGTGTCTTCCTGGAAGCAAGTCAGTGGGAGGGACAAGAGCTGTGGCCCACGCCTCCGTAGAGCCAGAGGGTCCTGCCTTAGGAAGGGACAGTCCTGTTATATAAGATGTATATTTTTGGATAACAGGTAGCAATGGACCACAGAAGTTTTGCATCGACAAGGTTGGCAAGGAAACCTGGCTGCCCAGAAGTCACACCTGGTGAGCCTGCTGGTTTTACTGGGATGTGGCTGGAATGAGCCCCTAAGGGCAGCCCGGTGGACAGGGCAACTTTGGGGCCTTGACTCTGGCAAATTTTGCATGGCTCTGGGGTGTTGGGTTGGAGGGGAGGGGCTGTGATGTGCCCAGTCACCTTTGTCTGGGCCTCTGATCTTTTGGGAGTTGTGGCAGCAGGTATGCACCCTGATGGTCATACCAGGTATTAAATATTTAAACACTTATATTCCAGTAGGCAAAGAGCTGCTGCCCAGGTGCCCTCTTACCCAATTCCCCATTTCCCAGCTGCCTGTCCTCTCCTACCCCTGTGGTCCAGGAACCTGAAGCACTAAGGCCCGACAGAGCAGGGTCCTTGATGTCCCTGTGTCAGCATCTCGGCAGCTGCTTGGTGTGGTCGAGCCACAGCCGTGTGAACGCTTTTAACCCACCTCGGCCAGCAGCCCTGACCTTCCCGTGCTGACTGTACTCTACCCCTCTCCCAACAGTTTCAACCGTCTGGATCTCCCACCATACAAGAGCTACGAACAACTGAAAGAGAAGCTGCTGTACGCTATAGAGGAGACCGAGGGCTTTGGACAGGAGTAACTGGGGCTGCCCCTCCCATGCCCCCCACACACCTGTAGTCACAAATCCTTCCTGCCTGAGAGGCTGCTGGCCGCAGCCCCTGGGAGGCCCCCACAGATGGTGGCTCGGCGTGGGACCACACTGTCATCAGGCTGCTGGCAGCAAAGCCTGACCTCAAGGGGCCCTGCCCACCCCTCCCTCCTTCCCACTGGTGGCAGCCTGGAATAAAGCCCCCTGGTCACCTTAGCCTTGTCTCCCATTGCAGCCTGGAGGGCTGACCCTCTGCAAAGCTCACTGAGCCTCCTCCTTCCCTAAAGCCAGCCCTCAGTATTTGGGAGTGTGCAAGGGAGTGTGCCCGTGCTGAAGGGCTGCAGCGCAAGCCCCAGGCCTCCTGGGCTAATTAGACAAGAAGGAGACTGGCCACTCGGGGTAGCTGTCTGGGATGAGAAGGCTCAGCATCTTAGCCAGTAAAAGAGGTTCTGTTTTAAATAGAACCTGTCCGGTGATCCGTGTGAAATGAAGGTCTGAGAGGCGCTCTTCCCACACCCAGAGTTCTGAATGAGGCTGCTGGCTTCCTTCCCCTGCAGGCTCTGGCCATGGAGGCGGAGCAGCAGGCGCCTCTCTCCCTGCAGGCTGGCCGGTTCGCGCTTCCCAGCCAGTCAAGGGCTGTGCAGCCGCTGATGGCAGTGGGATGGAAATAGCAGACTCAGACTTCCTCTTCCCTTTACATAAACTTGAAGCATTTTGTGTGTCGGGTTGCTTTGTGTTTTGTTGCTGGTTTGCCGCTGTCACTTTCTGTTGAGCTGGTGCACCAAATGTTGCTAGGACCTTGAGGGACCCAGCACCATTGGTCCAAGAATTTCCCAAATAGCTGCTTCGCTTAGGAACCAACTTGGCAGTTCTGTGAGCCCAGGCAAGCTGACTTCACAGTGGCCTCATCCCTGAACCTTGACAGAGAGGCAAGGGGGCGGTGCCCTGAGTGCCACCCCACCTTGCCACCTTTGATAGGAAAGACTCCCTTTGCTAGATGTAGTCACCAGGCTGTCGGCCTCCAGGTGGGTGGGTCAGTCCCCCGTTGAGAATGAAGTGCACCCCGCCACTCTAGTGAGCGTTCCTTCTGCCCAGAAGTGAGGCTTTGTCTGCACATGGGAAACCATGCTCGTGGAAGCCGCTGAGGGGCCCTGAGCTGCTGCACACATCTGACTTGATTTCTGGAGCCCCTGCTGGGCTCCGTCGTGGGCATTCTGCTGTATGACATCTTCAAGGTGAACATGTTCCTCGGAGATGCTGGAGCCATGGTTGTCATGAGCTGCCCAATCCAGCCCCCCGGTTCTAGCACCGAACACCAGCTGCAGACTAACTCCAGCTTTCTGGGACCCCAGGCAGGCCCTCAGACGGGTCCTGGCCTTCAGAGGGTAGTTTCATGTTCCCAGATCTGTGTCCTTTCCCCGAGCCCGTGGAGGGACAGCCGTGTCTGCTGTCTCATTGCAGCTCAGCCCTTCTCTTCCCTCGAGTCTGCTGTGCTTCCCTGCAGAGACTCACCACGTTGGGTCAGATGCGAGCTGCCGTGCGGAGTTTGGAGACCGCGGGCTCACGTGTGTTCAGAGTGTGTTCATGTGTGCGTGTGTGTACATACATGTATATAACAGGTGTCTACGGAATGTCCTTCAGTAGCTCTGGGTTGGCCATCAGATTGTTTTGTAATGTTCAGCCCCTTGCCTTGATATTGCCAGTTTCTTGTGCAATAAACAGTCAGCAGCTATGGGTGGTGTTGGTGTGTTGTCTCCAAAATCACTGTCCCAGGTAAGAGGCCTCTGGGCCCCATGGGCCCTCGAGGTCCGGAAGCTCCATGGGGCAGAAGTTCCATGACCTTGCTGGTTTTGAGAAGCATGTGCATCACTAACCAAGACAGCACACTTCTGATGGGTCGCTAAGTCAGGGTCCAGGGGTCACCGGCTTCAGCTCTTGAGTTGCTTCACTGCCCCCTTTTGGCTGGGGCCAGAACACCCAGCAGGTGAGGCCGCAGGTTGGACAGGCTGTGGAAACCAGCTCCTGGGGACAGCATTCTGGGCAGTTAGTTATTCCAGAAACATTTCGTGGTGGTTCTCAAGTTTGATGATAGCAGGGCTCTTCGATCTGGAGTTCCTGGTCATACAGGGTTGTCCACCTACCTTTTAGAGTACTTCGGAGTTCAGATGGGGCAAGTTACCATGCTGACGGGTCTCAATGCGTTTGACACAGAAACGACTTGGTCAGGGATGGAGCCGTGCCCGGATTGTGCTCCTCAGGGAGGTGATGTCCAGAGGGGCTCCTTCCTGGATGTGTCAGCTGAATTCATGCCCTGCCACCCAGCTTCAAAGCCTCTTTCTACTTGACAGGGCAGTGCTGCACTTTGAGAAAAATACTGACCCAAGTCCGCATGTTATACAGACATCTCATAATAAATTCAGATATGCGTACGTGGAAATTGTTCTCCTCACTGTTATCCCCAGAGGTAACTGCTATTCAGTTTGTTGTGGTCCTTCCAGACTTTTATGTGCATATACAAATCATATACACATATAATTTCTAAATAGGCTAAAAATGAGCTTTTGTATGTTAAACAACTCACTTGCCTCATGAAACGAGCCACCAGGGACACCGTTCCACGTTGGTCCACATATCTCTGATTGATTCTTCCCTGTGTGATGTTCCATAGTGTTTGTGCAATACACCCTCTTTGTCCTAACAGGCATGGTGGTTGTGTCCATCAGTTTACTGGTGGCTGCAAAGCATCTTCACCGGCCTTAGCAGTGGGCAGGGACCCTTGTCACCAGTGGGTGAACTGAATCTGTGAGCTCCCCTGTCTGTCCTCCCAGCTCTTTGTTCCCTTTTCCATCTTTTAACTCTGGGCATCTGTGCTTTTACACAATCGGTGTTTTTGTTTTGGTTTTTGAACACTTATTTTCTTCTGTATGTGTAACCATAATTTTTTTGAAGGCTTAATTGAAAAGCAACAAGAACATTTAGATTACTGTGATCATATAAATACTGTCTACTCCAGAAATAATTAGTATCAAGTCAGACCACTAGTTCTTCCTCACAAGCTCTTTCACCCTGGAGCTTCTATTTCCCCTCTTTGCTTTTATTATATCCTCACTTTTTTTTCTTACTCTGAAGTGTTTCAAGTGAAACTAGTTGGCAGGGAGTGTCCCTACCCCTATACACTGTAATAAGTTCCTGATACAATTAGCCAAAATGAAGAGAAGATATGTCTCCCTTTGTCACCCCAGGTCCCCAGTGGGTCTCCCATGTGCCAGTAAAACTTTACATAAGGTGGGATCTCACTGGGTCTGGAAAAGCCCAGTTCTAGCTTCCCCACTGCCCTTCGATATCAGGGCTCACTTCACCCTTCTAGCAAACCCTGGCAATCTGTGTGCTTCCATTGAGAGGAATGCTTACCAGTAGGAGACTCCCCTGGTTCTTGAGCCAAACTCAGCATCGACAAGGCCCCAGCCTCATTGTGGGGAAACAAATCGAATCAGTGCCCAGAATTATTACCTTAGCTCATTCACCTACAGTCTACCTCTTTTTAAAATTTTTATAGTCTACCTCTTGAATCCAATTTTAAACACTATTTATCTAGGTCTCTCTGATTCTGAAGTTGGTTCAAGTCCCATAGTTGAGCTCACTTTCCTGTAGTCCACTCTGCATGCGTCAGGCACCACTCGGCTGACTCAGATCCGAGCGTGTCACTTTTCTTTTTTTTTATCCTCACCCGAGGACATTTTTGTATTTATCTTCAGATAGAGTGGTAGGGAGAGAGAGAGAAATATCGATGCGAGAGACACATCGACCGGTTGCCACCCACACGACCTCAACCAGGGCTGTGGACAAACTGCAACCGAGGTACGTGCCCTTAGCGGGAACCCAACCCAGGACCCTGGTCCACAGGCCGACGCTCTAACTGCTGAGCCAAACCGGCCAGGGCCGAGCGTGTGACTTTTCATTGGCTGTTTTCCATTATTTGTAGCCTTTGAACATCAACATGGACTCAGGGCCTAACTCCAAATCAGCTGGTCCCAGTGGCAATGATCTTTGTTTTCTTTTTGATGCTCGTTATAGTTTTGGCCCCTTCCATTTGATTCTGTGTATCACCCCGCTGGTATCTTTGATGGTCTTCATGATACTCTATTCCCAATTTTAGTTCCATTGCCCCAAACACAGTCAACTGCTCAACTGCTATTTTGGTATAAAATAGCATTAGAGACCAAGATCGGTTCTATCAAGATGGCACAGTGAATTCATGATTTGATCAACCTCTGCTCCAAACACATAATAAAGACAAAAAAAAAAAGCAAAAGGACTGGTTCAAAACCAGCATAAATAATTCAGTGGGTCAGAAACAGAACAAAATGCAAAACATTGAGCAAAACTGAAGCTGTGGGTCTGCTGCACCCAGAGCCCCCCAGTGGTGGCTAGAAGTGCAGCTGCTGGGGGATAGGTGGTCTAAATATGCTTCTTATGGGGGCTAGGCCCCAACCCTCTGCTCCCTCCCGTTTCCTGGAAGCAGGCCAACCAGCAAACCAAACCAAACTTGCTGCTGTGCACCTGGCTGTGGCTTTGAGAAGCATGGAGGCCTGAGGAGGCAGAGACTCATCAAGCCAACCCACCCCAGGGGTTCTGGCCTGGATCTGGGATAGTCCTAGGTCACCCGAGGCCAGGGTCCCACACTGCCATTCAAAGGTCAGGCTCTGGAATGAATGCCCATCAGGACAGGAGGAAGCAACTGTAAAACCATTAGGCAGATGGAGAAGAAGCGAAAGAACAATTCTTTTTTTATCCTTACCCGAGGACATTTTTTCCATTTTTTGTTCAGATAGAGTGGGAGGGAGAGCGAGGAAGAGAGAGAGAGAAAGAGAAACATCGATGTGAAGAAAACACATCGAGTGGCTGCCACCCGCACGACCCAACCAGGGCCGGGGACAAACTGCAACCGAGGTACATGCCCTTAGCGGGAACCAAACCCAGGTCACTCTCGACTGCAGGCCGACGCTCTAACCGCTGAGCCAAACCGGCCAGGGCGAAAGAACAATTCTTGACTCAAGATTTTTGTCCCTCCACATTTCAGAGAAAGAGATACGTGGATGTCTTGCTTGCTGGTGTTTGCTGTAAAGGATGGCAAATGGGCCTTTTTACTGGGGCCCTGAATGTCACTACTCAGGGCTCTTTTCTCTGGGGTGACTAGTTTTTCCAAAGATGAATCCTCTGCTCCTGCCTGAGGGGAAGACTATACCTGAGGCAGGTACACCTACCTACCTGTAGGCTTTCTGAAAATAAGCAGCAGGAGGGAGCTGAGGTGCTCAGACTCTCAGCCACTGACCTGACATTTTCTTTCTTTCAGCCCTTACCTGCTGCCAGCCTTCTGCTCTGATGGGTCCCGAAGTCTTGAGCTCCACTTGACCTCTGTCTCCTGCAGCTGGGAGAGGAGAGGCAGTCAGGCTGTGACGGGCTTGGGGGGAGGACCTGGGTGTCCATCCCCTCTGCGTAGAAATTTCACCGCCCCGGTTCTTAGCTCTCCTCCTACCCTCCTGCTGCCCCCAAGAGTCTCTCCTGGGACTTGTTCATCTAGTAGGTTAAGACTTCTGCTTGGTCAGTTACACTCCTCCACCTTCCCACCTTTGAAAACTTTATTGTGTCCTTGTCCATCACTGAACCCTGGAGGTGGTTAATCCATCTCCCTTTCCTTTGATAGGTCTGCATGGGGGGTGAAGGAGGGGCAGCTTGTCTCTGGCAGTCTGCATAGAGGTTCCAAAGGGGCCTTGACTGTTGTTATATTGATTTTCAGTTAATCTGCCCATGTTTACCCCATGCCAGTAACTTCACCTGTCTCAAGCCTGAGCCTTTCCCAAGTTCTGCAGGGTTCACTAGAATCCTCCTTGGCTAAGCTCCTTCCTGTGTGAGTTGGCTGTGGCTCCTGCTACTGGCCACTCCTCCCACTTTACTCTTTTCAGAGACATGTTGAAGTCCCTTGTCCACCCCTCAGATGCTACCTCTTAAATGGGCCAAATGGCCCAGGCTGAATGGGACATCTTTTACATTCATTGACTGTCATTTTAATGGGGTCTTGGGAGTTTTTGCCAATCAGCCACAATGAAGCCCATTGCTCCTCCCTTCTCTGAGACTGACTGGGTTCCTCATTCAAGGTTGCTTTGTTTTGTTATTTCCAAAGCCAATGGTGGCAATAGATGGTCCTATTTATAAATAAGAGGGATATTTTACCTCTGCATTTTCCACTAACATTGTCTTTATTCTAAGACATTAATTAGGCACTGAGATTAAAAAAGAGAACACACTGTAGCTTCTTATGGATTTATGGATAACCCTGGTGAATTCTTGTTCCTGTCTGTGAGAGGCAGGGTTCTCATGTGACACCCCTTATAACCCCCTCATGGTATTCACACCCTCCTGGTGTTACCTCTCCCTTTAAGTGGGGCTGGGCTAGTGATTTGCTTCCAACCAATAGAGTTTGGCAAATGTGATGGGCTGTCACTTCTGTGATTAAATTACAAAAGATTATGACTTACTATTTGTGAGCTAACTCTCCATTATCGGCTGGGCTCATGTGCTTTGATGAAGCAAGCTGCCCTGTTAGAGAGGCCCATGTGGCAAGGGCCTGCAGGGAGCTTCCTATCAGCAGCGAGCGAGGAACTGAGGCCCATGAGGAATTGAATCCTGCCGCCAACCACGTGTGCTTGGAACCTGAGATGACTGCAACCCAGCCGACACTTTGATTGCTACCCGTGAACATGCCTGAGTGGAGGATGCAGCTAGGCTGTGCCGGGCTCCTGACCCACTGAAACTGTGAGGTAACAATGTGTGTTAAGTTGCTGAAGTTTATGGTGATTTGTTACACAGCGATAGATAACTAATTAATACACTATCCTAGGTCAGATGAAATGTTCTTGGATTAGCATCTCTCCCATGCTCTGGGTTCTGAATGTGGCCATGGTTTTTAATAAACGAAAGGGCCATGGCATGAAGATTATCTGTAGATCAAACATCACACTAACCAGGAATATAGGCAGAAAGGTACTAGTACCACTCTTGTTCCTTTTCTTGGGGAAGGAAAATACTGGGAAGTGGGAGGAATTTCCGTCCTTGCCCCCCAGACCACAGCCTGACATCATTTGCCCGGCAGCACTAATGGTCTCGGCGGCCTTGGGTCTGGCCCAGCCTGTGACTGTGGCACTCTGCCTTGAGATGTCATTAGTGCTTATCTGGGCCTCCAGCCAAACCCAGTTGGCAAGAGTCATGTCCAGTCTCTCAAGGACAATTTTGGGTCTGTTTCCTGTGTAATTACAGGGTGAACAGCAGAATAGGTGGTGCCATTACAGCAGGA